AAGAAGAAGAAGAAAAAGAAAAAAGTGTTGTAAAAAAAATGTTTGGGTGGCGATTTCTAATCCTCTTTATATAAGTTTGCTGGTGAGTAAGTTTTTGTGTGTGGTGACTAAAGATGAAATTTTTGAACACAAAGACACACCCACATGTTTAACCTAAAAGGGGAAGAATATCCAGAAATAAAAACTTAAAATGTCGCACGCCTCACCCTTTCTTTTCTGTCCCCTATTCTTCGACATACTTCCATATACACATTTTAAACAATAGAAAAAGAGACAAAATAAAAAGAAATTAAAATATTATTTAGAGGNAAAGGGGAAGAATATCCAGAAATAAAAACTTAAAATGTCGCACGCCTCACCCTTTTTTTTCTGTCCCCTATTCTTCGACATACTTCCATATACACATTTTAAACAATAGAGAAAGAGACAAAATAAAAAGAAATTAAAATATTATTTAGAAGCAATCTTATCTATTTTCCGTTATGCGACATTATTCATTTATTTATTCATTGTTACTGTTGTAAATGGGTATCTGGTGATTTTGTTTGTTTATTGAAAAATATGAAACTTTCTTTATTGTTGCAAAAAAGAATGACATGACCCATACACATTCTAGAAGTACAATATAGACTCACACATACAGGGCTCATCTCATCTCATCTCGTCACGTCTCTTGTTCTTTCGTCTGATTACAAATTTGATCTGCTCTCGCCAATCATTACTAAGCGTTCAATTGAACAATAAGTTTAAAATAATTTGATCATTTACGAAAACGTGTTTTTTTCATGTAAATCATCGCGATAAAACTATAAAACGAATTTACTATTGATCATGTATAACTAATTTACTATTGATCATGTATAACTAATTTACTTCGATCATGTATAACTTAAATTACATAAGTCCTGATGATGACCTGTTTATTAAATCGAATACAAAAATAAATAAATAAATAAAAAACCCTTAGATAATAATAATAATAACCGTTCATTATTATCCTTAAAAACAATACAAAGGCAACGCCCTCGCCAATTGAGGGAATAAATAAAATAAATAGAATACCAGCTTCTATAACCACGACTCATCACACATGCATATACACGTCACATTGTCCAAACAGCCACACCAGCCGATTTCTTTTCGTCTTTTTCTGGCAGATGTGAAACCGTTTTGATGTTACCATGCACATCTCATCCTTACACACCTTTTTTTTTTGGCAACATTCAACAAAAGGGGTGTTGTTCTCTTGATTTCTTTTGTTGACAACTTTTTTTTTCTTGGTGATCAATCCTATGTTGGAGTTTCTCTATTTTTAGAATATTGGTGATAATTGATGGGCATTTGGAGTTTTTGGAGATGTGGGTGGGAATCTAGTTGCTGAATGTGACCTTGGTGGTGAAAATGATATCGATGATGGGCCCCGTGGCGGTGATGGAGGAGCTGAAAAATGACTTGAAAGCCGCCTTGAAATCGAATCGTCATGATTATTACTGGTGATGCTGGTGGTGGGAATTATATTGCTTGATAATGTATAATCACCGGAAAATCTTCTAGATGTTGGAGTATAATCAATTGGAGATGTTTCATGATGTAATAAATCAATTCCATCTAATGAAGTTCTTTTGATTCCTGGTGATAACATATCGGTTCTTAATTTATGAATATTAACTCTATAGGAATGAAGGTTTTCAGAATTCTCCATTAATGAAGTGATTTTGGATAATTTATATCGAATAGTTTCATTATATTTCTTAGGATATGTTAATTTTCTTAATGGTTTTAATAAAGTTTGATAGTTATCTTCTACCCAATTTACAAATTCTTCTGATCCATTTTGTAATAAGTATAAAATAACAGTAAGTGTCTTCAATAAACTAAGATATGTCTTACTATCAAATTCCGGTTTCCGACTATGTTTCTTCGATGATGATGAATGGGGTTGTGGTAAATTTGGAATTGATTGTGACCGTTTCGGCATTGGCGGTTGTTGTTGTTTGTTACTATTTATACGATTTGAAACAAATGCAGCTATTGATTTAGCTCGCCTTACACGGGTAACTGGTTGAACACCTTCAGATTCTAAACTGGTAACATCTTCTGAAGAAACTCGTTTGGAAGCTTCTTTTATTAACGGTGATAATTTCTTAGTTAATATTGATGTTATTACTGATAGATGTTTTTTATTGATTGTCAAAGTAGCTAATTCTATTAATTCATGATTGTATGGACCCAATGGTTCTGTATTAATAGCTATTAATGGTTTTCTAGTTAGTATCTCATTGCATAACAAGTGAGGACCTGATTCCCTCCAACCACCCCCCTTTTCTTGTTTTCAAGAAAAAAAACCTCCTAAAAGATGGGCTGGGCAGGGAAGTCAATGAATTTTTAAATACACATACCATTCTTTATCTTTGATTCAGTAGATGATGTTATATTCTTAATTGATTGTATAATATTATTCGTCATTGCTTCTTAATGTTATTAGGAATAATAAAATTCATATAAAATTAAAGAAAATTGTGGGTTATGAAACGATTTTTTTTTTCTATTTAATAAATTTCTAGAAGTCTGCAACGGAAGGAATGGGGAATAAAAATTTATTTTTTTACAATTGATAATTTAAAATTCAATTGAGACTTTATTCTATTTAGATGTCTTAAAATTTGCTATGTGAATAAATTTATATACGTAGTTGTATGATGATAGCATATAAGCTTAGATGAACTTCAAATGAAAAGCCTAAAAAATGACAGGTATTTATAATAATTAATGAAACAAAACCCTAAAACCCTTTTTCATAAGGCTGGAAATTACGGTTATAAATTATTACCGCAAATAAAAACACAAACAGAAAAATTAATTGTTCTCTTAATTATTCAATGACTTCGGAATCATTCAAGAACCGGCTTAGTTCGGAACAGTATGAGATGAATGATTAAATATGGAGCATCTCCCTTAATTCCCCATATTTTGACATCATTGATAATTCGGTTAAATTAAACCATTTCAACCACTTAAACAAAAAAAACTATAATTATGGGCTATGTATTATTGAACGTAAGCTGACGTGATGTCAAGTTGTGTCATGTGTGTCTCAGTTGTGAGGTTAATCTTTATGACAGGAGAGAAGAAAAAAAAATGGAATCATCGGATCTCGGGTTTTGGTTTTTATTTTCTATTTTTTTGTTTTGTTTGTTCCACCGCTGTAGTGTGCATATTCGTACTTCCGAGATATTTAATACGTTTACGCCCGAGCCGAGGAAGTGTCTCTTATTGGAAGAAATGGACAGATGAGATGATAATAGAGTGGCTCGATGAATTGGTGCCTTGCATGTAGATGTGATTCTATGTCGAATAATCACGTTTGTAAGAGGATAATTTGATAATTGAATTTGTTGTTAAATTTGGATAAATTTTCGGTTCAAATTTGGTTCAAAAAAAAAATACACCCGAACAATGTAAGTATCAAGTTTCCTTTGGAATAGACTACCAAGATGATGAGAGATTGATCTGTAATTTGTAATTCGAAAGTAACAAGAGATGTTTCGAGTTTCTAATAGGACAAAACTGATGACTCTATCTACGTAAATAGGGCGCGCGTTGTTCTTTCTAATGAAAGAATAGAAATTTCAAAATGGCTGCATTTGAATGGCTGCAACTGTATTATTTGACCATTTTACAAACATGATTTTGCAGGAAAACACACAAAAAATGAAATAAAGTTTGCAATTTGAAGATTTCTACAGGGGTAAATGATTAGTCTGACTTAATCACATTAATGAATTTTATGTAATATATCGAATTTCTACTGATATTTCAAAGTTTCATCTCACAGTATGTCAAAGAAGAGAATTATCAAGAGCAATAGAACGTGTTCCTGTATACTGTCGATTGCTTCTCTATTAGAATGACAAAATTGGGATCCACCTTGGAATGTATTTCTTCAATTTCAGACAAAAATATGAAAGGAGCAAAACAATCCTGGCCCTGTAATTTGGTGGTGGTGGTGGTGGTGGAAAGAATTACGGTGGCAATTGATGGCGATGCGGTAATTTAGATCCGTAGGAAAATAGGGGTTGGTGCGCTTAACTGTCGTACGAGTGAAAAAGATTTTTAAGCGGACGACCAGGAAAAAAAAAATGTAACTTCCGCTACCAAGGGTCGTGTAAACTTTACCTTTTGTCATACCAGAAAAAAAAAATTAATTAGTAGGCGTGTGCCTAATTTTATTACATGCGCACTACCACTACGCGCACTCGGTGGTAACTGCTAGTACTACCCGTAGTAGTAGTAGAACCACAATAAAAATAAAAATAAAAATAAAGTAAAATTTGAACAAACATAAAACTTTCACTCCCCACTTGGTTTTGTGGAACCATTATTATTACTTGGTTAGAAACAATAGAGATGACCTGTATATTACAATCGTTTTAGTCAAATCAATTTGTTCTCCCTTTTTTTTTTTGGGAATATTGTTTCGTATCACAAGAGAGAAGAGACGGGAAGGATCAAAAAATTTTTCATTACTAAATCTCCGCTTACCCCCTTTCATTATTTAGTTTCGAAGAAGAAGGGAAGGCGAAAATTTCAAATCTATTTAAGACAAGATACATCTTTCTCTTTCTTCTAGTGTTTTTTTACCCCGGACATTAGAAACTAAGTTCATAATCCCATATATATAAATCCAATCCAATATTCCCTTTTTTTCTTTGCAATAAAGGAACAACAAGAAAGAAGAAAATCTTAATTAATAATTAATTAGCTGCAAAAATTCTATTTTTATAATCAAGAAAAAGAAGGCTGTTTTTTTTTTTCTTGAAGAGAGTGAACTGATTCCTGTAACAACTTAGAGGTTCCAATTTGTATCGTCAAAAAAAAAGAGTGACAGTTACCGAATAAGAGTGTAACTTGTTCTATAAATCATCAATTCAATTGTAGCGACGACATCTACAACAACAGAATCACACCACATATCCACAATCAACCATTATTTATTCTGAATTAAATTACCCATTTGTGAGAAAGAGAGATGGAATATTAAAATTTTTAAATTGAATTCTTCCGCAATTGAAATATTTTAGATTTACCGACAATCAATAAATTTATATTCAACCCCAAGTATATTAATAGATTAAAGAGACAACCAATTGATAATTTTATTGTAACATCAATTTATACTGTGTGTGACATACTTTTCCCCATTGCAATTCAAATTTAAGTGAAAAACTACAACCCACAGTTTCAGAATCAAACCAATAAAATAAAATAATTTATTTGTGGATTTCTTTTTTTTTTTGGGTCTTCGGGAGTTTTAATCTTGCGTGTTTTATTTTTTTCCACCACTCACAATACTACAGAAATTTGAAATTTTGGTAAAACGACAAAGAGAGAAAGTTCAAACGATTAACATTACTTTACTTACAATCCGATAACGCTTTTTGTTAGGAAAAAAAAATTATAAGAGTCACATTCAATTACTATACTACTTCCCAACAAATCATTAACTAATCAACTAATCATTACAACTATTCAACAGTACATTTACTATCCTGTATATAACAGTGTTAACTTATTTTTAAAAAACTTAATCATTTAGTGTCTTGATTTGTCACACGAGTTGCAATTTTTAAAAAAAGTTTCATATTTAATATTTTTATTATTAGCCATCATTAAAAAGAAGTTAAAGCCCAAAAAAAAAAATCTTATTTGGAATCACACTAAGACTTTTTTTTAATACTCATTATCCATATCAAATTTATCTAATATCCTATAACTTACTTACTTACTACTACTACTTACTACTTACTTACAAGGCAACACTCCCCCATCCAGACAACTCATCCCAAAACCATTCATTTCAAAAACATATCACAAACAATATGACTGAAAGTTGTAAATCTTCAACAAGATCACCGTCGTCATCTCCTCTAGATTCACCACTTCTATCTGCTTCAACTACAACTGCAGAAGAATTTGAAGATTATGACGAAGATTTTGGTGCATTAATACAGAAAGTAAAATCAAGACAACAACAGCAACAAGAAGAAGAAGATCGAAAACCTTCATTTAAATATGATTTAGAAATATTTAATCTTTGTAAAGAATATCTTAATACTAAAAATCATCATGGATTAGCATTAATAGCAAGACAAAAAGGAATACCGCCTTTCCTTCGATTTAAAGTTTGGCCAATACTATTGAAATATCATCCTTTTGTATTAAATCCTTTTATTCAACCTGATACAGATATCATTCATGAAGCTTCAACAAGATTATCCAATAATAATAATGAAACTACTAATAATGATGATTCCAACTGTAATTCAAATACTAGTGGATCTTCAACTGCAAGTACAAGTTCAAATCCAAGCGATAATGAATCTGATATACCATCATCTAATGATCCTAATGAAATTATAAGATCAAAAATAAAACGTGATTTATCAAAGTATATTCAAAGACTAAAATATTCTCAATCAAAATATATCATATCAGATTTAGAACGAGAAATACTATCAATATTAGAAAATTCAATATTAAAATTTTCAATTAAATGGGGGAAAATTATTAAATATGATTCTTCATTAACTTGGATGGCATTAAATTTAGCTGAATGGTTCCCACCAATTCCAAAAACTCCTTGGGTATTAATGGGAAGAGATCAACAATCTTCAATTAATAATTTATTAACCATTAATTTATTAGATGATTATTCAAATTATATTGATAATATCCCGGATTTAAAACGATATCTTGAACAATTAATTTATAATGATGAACGAATTTCAAATATGTCTTTTCATGATGTTTATGAACGATTAGTATTGGTTTTGTTACATTGTCCTGAACCTTCTAGAAGAAGAAGTCCCCTTGTCAATAATGAGTCTGAGAAAAACAAGAATCAGCAAATACAATTCTCATTAGAAAGCCCGTTAAAAGTAAATAAAACAACATTACCAATTACGGGAGGAACAATTGAAGAAAGAGTATCATATTTTATTTATTGTTTAAGAAAAGTTATGCCCGAATTATCCCAATTTTTCCATGAAGAACAAATATTAACCAAATTTGGTGGAGGTGGAGGTGGATTAGATGATGAATGGTTAATTTGGTGGCTTAAATTTTGTGGATCAAAAGTTTGGTCAAGATATGATCGTGGAAGAATTTGGGATTTATTATTAGGTTGGAGATTAAAGAATCCCAAACGGGATTTTAATTATTATTATGAGAAATTGAATTATGTAAATCGAAATACTTTGGATAAATTAGGTCCGGATATTTTTTGGTCTTTAAGTAATGAAGAAGAGGATGAGAAATTACCTAATGAGAATACTGAAGACGGGGTATTAAAGCATAATAATTCATTTAGAGATTTAATCCAAGAATTAAATAATGAATTCCATATTTCAACTATTAGCGGAGCAACAAAGACTGCATCTACTACAAGTTCACAATCTTCCGCCCCATCATCATCAGCATTATCCAAGGGTAATACCAATCCAAATCTATCTATTCCATTCTCAAGAATAGATCCTCATATTTCACTTATATTTATTTCATTAGCATTATTAAAATCAAAGGAGAATTTATTAGTTGAATTAGATCAACATGAAATTAGACAATTATTATCAAGATTACCTTCAAAATCATATAATTATAAACTGAAAAAGAAACAACATCAACATCAACAACAACAGAAACAACAACAACAACAACAACAGCAACAGGCAGAAGCTAATTCAGCTCCATCAACAACTCCATCGTCGTCATTATCTACATCTCCGAATGATCTTTCTCTTGAAACTGGTGGTGGAATGAGTAATAGTATTATAATTTCAAATGATTCATCAAGTGATCATAAAGTTAATTTTATCGATAATATAATTCAAGAATCAGGAGAACTATGGAGAAAATGGTTATGGCTGGAAATGGTTGATGATAATTAGTGTGTGTTATGTTTATATATATGTGTGTGGTTATGTGTTTATGTTTATAGTTCCCCTTCTTTCGTTATATATAGTCATTTTTTGAATTTACATTCATTTATTTACGATTTAATTAATTAAGACAATATTTTGCAATTTTGCAACTTTCTTTAAGAATTATTTTTTAGTATTGAAGTTCGACGCAGGGAAACTGTAGAAGAAAAAAAAAATCTCTGAGATGAGATGAGTGTAAGAGGTTCTTTCATTCTGACAATATCATAAATATTTAGAGAAATAAATTAGAAACAACATGTCAGATCTAAGCTCAGATGAAGCTACAGTAGTGCCATCTACTACTACTAAAGAAAGTAAAAAGGAAAAGAAATTAAGAAAACTGGAAAAGAAATCCAAATCCAAGAAATCAAAAGATACCGAAGAAGAGCATTCAGAACAAGAACATGAAGATTCCGATGACAACAATACTAAGGACACCCCTGAAGATGAAATAGAAATCGATTTATCTGCTTCTGTCCCATTATCCAAAAAACAACAACGTTTATTAAAAAAAGGAAAATTAGATCTTGATAAACTTGCCAAAAAACACCCCATCCCAAAACCAGCCAATGAAGAACCATCAACCACCGCACCCAAGAAATCAGAATTTGGAGTCTGGATAGGAAATTTATCATTCGATACTACAAAAGAAGACCTTATCCGATTCATAGTTGGGAAAACTTCCCAATTTGAACCAAATAATGAAAGTTTACCAAAAATTGAAGAATCGGATATTTCTCGTGTTAATATCCCCAAAAAAGATGCCGTCAAGATTAAGGGGTTTGCATATGTTGATGTCCCCAGTATTAATCACGTGAATTCGATTGTTTCATTAAGTGAATCCATACTTAATGGACGGAAATTATTAATCAAAAATGCCAATTCTTTCGAAGGTAGACCAGCTGCAGATTCTTCTGGTAGTAACATTTCCAAGAATCCACCCAGTCGAATTCTTTTCGTGGGGAATTTATCATTTGATACTTCTGAAGATAATTTACAAGAACATTTCCGTCATTGTGGGGAGATAGTTCGGATTAGAATGGCGACATTTGAAGATACTGGGAAATGTAAGGGGTTTGCATTTATTGATTTTAAAGATGAATCGGGTCCAACTACTGCTTTGAAATCGAAATTGGCTCAGAAATTGATAAATAGGAAATTAAGATTGGAATATGGGGAAGATAGATCAAAGAGAAATCCAAATATGAGAAAGAGGGAAGAAGGGGTTGAACAAGAAGGAGAAGTGAAGGAATATAATCAGAGGGAGCCGGCACCAGTTCAACGCGAGCCAGAACAAAGGGAATATCGTGAAAGACAACAAGACGATTATAAACCGAAAAAGAGAGTGTTTAAGGAGAGAAAAGATGATAATAAAAGATTGAAATCTTCAGTGGCCTTGGCAACTGCTCAAAGAGCAAGTGCTGCAATTGTTCAATCTACTGGTAAGAAGATTAAATTCGATTAGATAGACTTTGTAGATGTTTAATTTCATAAAAATCTTATATTTTTTAAAAATACTAAACACAGGTTGTAAAACTATAAACCAACAATAATACTATCACTATAATATAAAAAAAACACACTAATATCCATAAAAACTATTTTTAAACTGGGATCTTTCCTAAAAGGGTCTTCTCCTTCTCTAACGCTTTATGCTTTTCAAATTCAGCACTTGTAACTTCAAAATAATTTGGATCTTGTTCATGAGATTGAAATTCTCCATCAGATACAAGTTCATAAACCGATACAACTTCATACGATTCGTCATCACTTAATACACGAGGAATACTACTCTTATCTCCTCCTCCTACTTCTCCCTTTGGAAGAATGTTCTTTGAAACTTTAACAGTCGTTCCGGAATTACCACTACTGCTCTTATATTCTCCTCCTTCCTTTGGAACAACATCCTTTGATACCTTAGAAACTGTTCCAGCATTGCTACTTGGAATCTTGTCAGCTCCACTTGAAACAACTTTACTTCCATACTTTCCTGCACTACCCAAAGCAGCACCGATTCCACCCGCAGCCGCAGCAAGGGTTCCTCCAACTAAACCAGCAGCAATTGCTCTTTTATGACCACTGCTTTTTTCTTTTTTATCTGATGCTGGTTGTTCAATCTCTTTAGATTGGGGAATGGCTCTATTTCCAGAAGAACTAGAAATTTCATTGCTGGTCCCTAAAAAAGAACTGGATCCACCTAAACCAGGTTGATCCAATTCAATTTTTTTCGTCAATCTTTCAACCTCCAATTCACGTTCTTGAATCAATTTCTTAATTTCTTCAACTTTGGGGTCTCGATAAGTTTGACTTGCCAATCTTGCTTTTTCTTCTCGCAATGCTCTGATTTTTTTCAAATTTTCAACTTCTTCTGATAATCTTTGTTTTTGTAAGTTTTCAAATTCTAATCGCTGACGATAAAGAGTCAATTTTGCTTCGTGTTCTTGTTTTAATTTTTCAATTTGAGATAATTTGATATTGGCAATTTGTTCAGCTTCATCTCGTTCCATTTCGGCAGCTTTGGCACGTTCGGCTTGTAAGGCGGCGATTTCTTCTTCTAGTTGACGTTGTTCTAATTTATCTTTCGCAACTCGTTCTTGATAAATCCGATCTTGTTCTGCTCGTTCTTCTTCCAATTTCTTTTGTTCAACTTCTCTTCTCTGAATAGCTTGACCAAGTTGAAATTCCGGATCTTTTGATTTCATTTCTTCTTCTTCACGAGCTTGCTGCTGTTCCAATAATTTCTCCTTGGCTTCCCATTCAGCTTGTTCCTTTTCCAATCTGGCAATTTCTTCGCGATGCTTCTCGGCTTCACGCGCCAATTCTTCAGCTTGTTCTTTTTCTTGACGTTCACGTTCTTCCTTTTCGTGTTGTCTTTGGAGTTCTTCTTCATGTTTTCTAGTTTCATATTCTTGAGCAGTTTCTAATCTCCTCCGTTCATGTTCACGAGCAACTTCTTCTGCCATATCACGTCTTTCAGCTTGCCAAGAATGATACTTCTCTTGTGCATCCTTGAGTTTTTTACCTCTTGCTTCTTTGTCGGTATTTAAGGTGGTTAATTTAGCAGTATATGCAGCCACGGTTCCTGCCAAGGCTCCCACTGCTGCCAGTAATGCAACATGTCTCTCTTTCTTTTCAGAAAGGTTTTGTTTAACTTGAACAACTTCGTCTTCTAATTCTTTCTTTTTGGATAAGTTGGAATTAATAGCTTCATCATGAACATTGTATTTAGCCTTCAATTCATCCAATTTTGCCGTTTCTTCATTCAATCTTGCCGTTAATTCTTCAATTTGATTAGAAGATTCAGAATTCTTATTATCCAATTCCGATTTCTTTTCTTGTAATTGTTCAATTTCTTGAGTGGTTGTTTCTTGATTGGTTTTACAATCTTGTAATTCTTGTTCCTTTGTAGCTACCAATTCTTCATGATTCTTAATAAGGGTTTCTTTATCAGTTTCATGTTGTTCTTTGGCTTTAGTTTCCCGTTCTTCATATTCATTATTAGCAGTTTCGATTTCTTCTTTAGTTTGTGTTTCAAATTCTTCAGCGGCCAATGTAGAATTCTTCATTGATAAAATTATATTATTAATCTTTTCTTCAATTTCTCGATCAAATTTTTCCTTCTTTTTACCAATCTTTTTCAAATGTTTTTCAAATTCTCCCGTTAATTTAAATTCATGTTTTTGAACCTTATTAGAAATCTCTTGTTGTCGTTTAATTTCATCTTCTTCTCTAGTCTTACTAACTTCTTGATTAATATTGGCCAAAACTGGAGCAACTCTTTTTGCAGCAATATCTAATAATTGTTGTTGGGTCATTTTTAACCCAGAACCTAAATCAATAACTTTATTAGGATCATCCACCTTTCTAGCAACTGATCCAATAGCAGCTACATTTAATTCTTCATAACGTTTCAATAAAGCTGGCTTATCTTTCAATTTATCTAAAGTTTCTTGATTTGCTAATTCAACTGGTTCATATTTCGTTCCTGGTTGGGCAGCGAGTTCAATTGGTGTTTCTTTAACTAGTTGTTCTACATTATCATCAGTGGCATTCTTGAGTTCAGTAGATTGGTCAACTGGTGGTGCTTCCTCCTTAGGAGTTTCCTCCTCTGGGACTTTCTCCTTTGGAACATCGTCCGCCGCAGGTTGTTCGTCAGCATAAACGGAAGAAGAAGCAGTGACTGGTTGAGCAGCTAACGCAGGTTCTTGTTCGGCTTCGGCTTCTGTTACATCGCTCACATTAGTGTTTGCTGGTTGTTGATCCGGTGGAAGCATTGTTTCTCTGGATTCAAGTCTGTCACTAAAGTTTGTTTCTGCGATTGCTGGTTCTGCTGGTTGCTCGGTCTTTGATGGAAGGTTGTCTTGTTCTTCGGCAACTTCTGTCTCGGCAGTAGCTTCTCCAACGGAAGTGGGTTCAGCTTCTCCAGCTTCTTCGGTAATATCCTTCGTCGAGCCTTCTCTTTCGGTTGCTTCAGCTTCTTCATCCTTGGCTTGTCCTTCTCCTTCCCCTTCTCCTTCTCCTTCCTCTTCTCTCTTTTTCTTTGCTTCTTCTTCCTCTGCTTGTCTCTTCTTTGCTTCTTCAGCTTCTTGAGCTTCTCTCTTCTTTCTCGCTTCTTCAGCTTCTAAAGTAGGATGGGTTGCGAATTTTGCCGGGACTTTAATTTGATCAATTTTATTTTCATCTCTAAGTTTTTGATGTAAATTAACTTTCTTTTGTTTTTCATTTTCACCAGTTGATCTAAATGGTGATATCCAACTAGAACCACTTGTTACTGATTTCATTATTGACGATCCCTTTTTTGGAATAGATTTGGAGGAATCTACACTGCTCATTGTTCCTGACATCTTTCAATTGTTTTTTTGTTTTTGCTCAATTGATTCGTGTGGATTGTTAATGATAACGGGTCAATTGAGGTTTGATCTAAATGTCAATTGATTGAATGGATAGTCAAAAGGTGTGTTGCTAAAAACCAGAAGAATAAAAAACAGCAAAATATGAAATTTGTAGCAACAAAAAAAATTCTTGGGGGGCAGTTGAAAAGAAGTAGAAGAAAAGTGGTGACTATGAAGCCCTGAAATAAAGTAAACAGACAGCAAACAAAAAAAAAACTTAATTAGGGGGTAATTAATTAATTGAAATTTGGTGGGGTTACTACTTTAATGTATGTATGGTACTGTAACTGAAATGAAATAAATGCAAGAAGAAACTGAAATATTACTACCAGCTAATAGAAAAAGGGGTTAACTTTGAGTATTATAAAGTATTACCGAAATATATAATTACACAGATTCCAAATGAATGATTGTTTTGTGTTTAGAAAGAATAAATTCAAAAACAATTGAGAATTTCAGATTTATGAAATACCAAAAAAATTTAATTGAGAGATTTCAGAGTAAAGAATCTCCATAGTAAACTTCGAATTCTTAATAATTGCAAGCCAAAAGCAAATTGAGACCGAGATCGATCATTAAATGGAAGTAAGTGGTTAGATTCTTCATTAGTTTAATTACAAGTGACAAAGAACTAATTAACAATTTGCAATCCTTCTATTTACTTTCCCAATTAGGATTTGGGTCAATTGTTCTGTAGTATAATTTTATTTTCTATGGAATTGTAACCTGTAGAAAATAAAATCACAAATCCGATAACTCCGGGAGCAAAGGCTGCAAATCCTTAGATTTGTACAGTATGTCCAAGTTGAGTTGCAATTAATAAGTAGAATATTTATCTTCGAAATCTTACATTCATATAGAGATCAATTATATTTCAGATAAGACAATATCAGGAGTCTTCTTCATTCAATTACCAATGTAAGGAATAATTGGAATGAACTACTATGTTATTCTATTAGTTAGTGTAAGCAAACCCAAAGTGATTTTTCTCATTGGAACTGTTAATAAACCTATCAATGCCTTATGACTTAACAAGGTGGTCTGCTTTGGGATTCTTATCTCTTTGGGGTTTATAGGCTGTTTGTAAGTTGATTTTGAAATGATAATTTGGTGAAATCTGGGGAAAGAAACAGAACTGATATCTAATTGGGGAGGTATAGAATGAAAATAAAAAGACTAATACAATCCCGATCTTCGTATAAAACATAAAAATTTTTGAGTACGAGAATTTAGTTTTAACAATTTTCTCTTATTAAGTAATTAATGATTATTGGTTAAAGAAGTGTAATATGGTCAATTTAATATGTCACTAATTTTTTTCTTTGTAATTAAAAGCAAAAGTTCGAGATTCGCAAAATAGATTCATGGCTGAGAACTAATTTTTTTCTGCTGCTAGTACTGCTGGTACTACTAATACTGCGTAAATAAATAAATTTTTGTATTGAGTCGCCTTAAACAAATCTCTATGTCTCTCTCTCTCTCTCTTTCTAACTTAAATAAACTTTTGTTTTTTTTGCCGTGTTCTCAATTTATAAATAAAACTGAAAGGAAAAAAAAAAAAACTTAAATTTTTTAAAATCCTTTTATCCATCTTTAATAAAATCAAAAAACAATCATCAAAAATTCAATTTAAAAAGGGGGTTAGAAAACATCAACATCCAAGATCATCACTTATACACACACATAGAGAGAGTGTGTGATACCATAATACCACCCAATCAATCACATATCAACAGACAAACAAATTAATTTGCCTGCAAAAAAGAAGTCAATCAACAACAAAAAGTATAAAAATTTACCACCACACAAGTATTTTACGATTTTATAACCAACCAACCAACCACCATTTTAATAAATATCCCACTGAGTTTATTCATTACAGTTATTTTATTAAGTGAAAGTTAATTACAAAAACTCATCAAACTGATTGATTGATTGATTTTCTTAAAGTTTAGAAGTTTATCAATCTCGTATTTATTATTATTTTATATGATAGTCATCTTTTTATAAAGATATATACCAACCGATAACTCCTATATTTTGAAAATAGTGTACTATTTATTTATTTATCTATTTATTACGTTGCAAGAATATTTGATATTTCATAACTAATCACATCAAACATAGATGGCGACATTAATCCCGACAGCAAGTGCCTGTCATTCCCTTCAACTACCTCCAACTGAAAAAGATGATAGATTAAATTTAAATGTGCGGACTGGTTCTGCTTCTACTTTATATAATTCATTAGTATTCACATATGGTGGACTTACAATGGGATTAGAATTAAAAGATTTTACAATTGAAGAAATTAGAGATATATTCCAATCTAAAATTAATGCATCAGCAACTAGATATAGATCGTTTGATAAATATCTTTCAGGTGAATTATTTTATTTAAGTTTAATTGAACGGGTTTGGACAAGAGTAACATTCAAAACATCAACCACCACAAGACCAAGTCCAAGATTATTACATCAATTGTGTGCCGTCAATAATTGCATATATTTATTTGGTGGATTAACAATCCCAGAAAATCAATCACAGGAGAAATATCTTATACCATGTAATGACCTTTGGGAATTTAATCTTGAAAAAAATAAATGGACTTGTTTACATGATGGTGCTCATTATCATCTTGATAAAGCAATCCCCTGTCCTAGATATAATCATAAAATAACCCCCATCTCAAGTTTATCATTTGTGAATAGAAAAGATCATTTTGGAATATTTATCGGGGGTGGGAAAGATGAAAATTCAAATATGATTTATGATAATGCAATATTTGATTTAGTAGAAAAGAAATATGTTGGATCTCAACCAATTCATTTATCTGTCACTTCAGGAAAGCCGACAAAAGATCAACAATTGGGATTAACCAATTTCATTGCCAATGATGATCATTTATTAAATGTTGATATTACTAAAAGTATGTTAATTGATTTCGTGGAAGAAGTAGAAGCAATACAAACAGTCGATGGAAAGGGGAAACTACCTTCAACTACTCGAGAAGAATCACTTGTAGTATATGCTCCAACACAAGAAGGAGCTTCAAATCCTTTAGTTTCATTTAAAATTGGAAAAATGATAAAACATGGGAAACCATTACCTATACATCGTAAAACGGCATACAAGAAACAAACAAATATAACAATACCATTTAATTTAAGTTATCCCTCTGGAGGTTTATTTGGTCAAAATGTTGTTATTACCGGATTCTTGGAAAATGAATTTGATATTTCAATTTTCATCTATAATAAACCTACGGGGAAATGGTCAAGAATGAATATATTTTGTAATCATGATTATGGAAGTCATCGATTTTGGGGAGGGTTTGCCTGGCAATCACATCATAAAGTAATTTTATTAGGGAATTATTTAACATCACGTACATCAAGTAGTATTCGATTTTTTACATTAATGATTACTGTTAGTTTACCAATTACCAATATTTTAGCCAGTTCTGAATTAGCTGGAGGCCATCATCATGCTGCTGATGGAACGAGAATCTATCATCATCGAAAATTGGATGATTCAAGTGATGAATGTCTGACTGATAGTAGTAGTAGTGCTGCTTCTGGTGGCGATTTAGAGTCTCATGAATCTAGTATTCCTGATTCTACTAGACATCAATCCGTTACATCTGTTGGAACAGAAAAGTCAAATCATACACCAATCAGTTTTACTGAATATGTCCATTATGCAGCTCCGAAACAAACATTTACAACTATTAGATCAGTATTCCCACCAGCTGCAATCACGTTAGGAAGAAATGCATTTGATAGATATGGAGATTTAGTTTCTGATTTTGAAATTGTTTCATCTAATGGTGATAGAATTCCTGTGTGTTTAGTTGTATTAATGGAAAGATGGGGCAGATATTTCATTTCATTATTGTCAAGAGGATATGTTCAAGCTGTGGATAAATTTGAATCGGATCAAGCTAAAGGATTATTCGAGGGACAAAGACTAAGATCAAAAGCAAGTAATTCAAGTTCAACAACTGGTTCAGCTAGTATGAAATTATCGGCAAGTGGATCTTCTGTTGCTTCAAATGAAGCTTCTTCAGATAATAATACCACACAAGAACTGACATCACCAAAACTGCAATCAGCAAAAACAACAAAAGAAAAAGAGGACGCTGATAAGAAGACAAAGTTACATTTATCTATGCATTTACCTAGGACCCCCAAAGATGCTCCTCAGTTTAGACTTCCATTCCAAGATTCATCAGAATCATCAAGTATGGATTCCCCAGCTCCAACCAATGAAAAGGTACCATCGCCGGAACCACCGGGCATGAGACCAAATATGGCATCATATTCATCAGCAATAGATCCTCATCAAACTTCAACTACTACCAGAAAAGGTTCAGTCGCATCATTTCAGTCAAGTCATAGTTCCTTATTGACTTCTCATTTACAAGATATCCCACCACAATTACCATTACCTGTAGAACCTATTCCTGCAGTACCAGTAACATCATCATTTAGAAGTTCATCAAGAAAAGGCTCCCAAGATCATAGTTCTCCTCGAGCATCATTGATACATACATTGACAGCATTACGTAATATCCCAAGTTCCGGTAAGTCCCCTCGGGGTTCACCATTTGGATCTCCACGTGCATCCATCTCAGCACAAGGAAATATAATTGGATCTAGTGGTGCTGGTGGTGGTGGTGGTGGTTCTGATTTGTTTAGTTCTCCATTTCCTAATTTACGTCCAAATCCAGGTAGATCACCCGTTGGTGGAACAAATCGAAGAAAATCTACTGATGCTGTAAATAATCCTATTTCTCCAATGGATGCTGCTGAGCCGGCGAAATCATCAGAAGTTGAACCAGAACAAAAGCCAGCCAATAATAATAATGCAGCAGCTGCAATATTTTCAAATTCACTGTCAGATGCTCCAACTAGAGATAGTAGTCTTGCCAGTAGTTGTGATTATAGTAAGGTTTCAAGTGATGATGCTGCAAGTACCTCAACCGCTAAATATGCCCTAAATGAGAAATATTCCGATCGAGTTTTTGAGAATGCATTATTGAATTTTGAAGATATTGAAGTTGATAAATTTAGAATGGAACCTTCATTAATTCCAAGAAGACTTTATCTTCCTTGGCCCACGATCACTGTGAAGGCATTTTGTGAATATTTGTATACGGGACAAATTGGGAATAAATGGATTTTAGCCCCCACGGTATTGGATAATTTATTGATTGCTAAATTCTTTAGGGTTCCTTTGTTGTATGATTTAATTAGTGAGGTTTTATTTGGGATTATTGGGAGAAAGGAAGCATATATTGTTGGAGAAGGGAATAAATTAAAAAAGAAATATTTTGACTTGTTGGAAGATATTGGAATTCCAATTGATCCTGATTTTAAATTTCCTTTGGATGAATATGAAGGATTTATGGATACTGTTGATGATGGATATTTGGATATTGCATTATTGAAAAAGACATCGAAGACTCATAGAAGAAGTACTGCTTCAACTAAGAAATCTACATCAACTGCTTTTTCACTGATGCGGAGTGATTCTATTGAACCAAGAGGAGTAGGATCTACTAGTACACAAGGTGGTAGTGAATCCAGAGGTGTCGAAGATGTTGTTAATGAAGAAGAAGATGAAGATGATGAAATTTCGGATGATTCTAAGAAAAGTTTGGAAGACGAACGAGAATATTCTTTGGGATATTTGGATACTTATGAAAATTCAGTACCACAAATTGGTTCCAGATCAAGATCGGTTTTTGATAAACATAGTTTCATGTTACAAGAACTTAAACGAGCAGAAGCAGAGGCTGAAAAGGAAGATACCACTACCATTAATGATGATGATCAATACGAAGAAAATGCAAATTTTACCCTTGAAGAATTAGTTTCTCCAACTGCACCAGTTCCTTCGGATTATTGTGTGGATTTGATTTTTGAAGCAAGTACGATTGTTAGTGATTTGAAATTGATGTTAAGAGCGGCTAATTTGAGAGCTATGACCAAAATCTTGAAGAGAAGTAGACATGATATTGAAGCGGCAATGGCTGAATTGGAATATCAGAAAGGAATGGCTATGTCAGCTAAACGTAATGAGGAATTGGCTACTGCTACTGCTACTGCTGCTAATGCTTCTGCTGCTTCTGCTGCTTCTGCTGCTGCTAATGCTTCTGCTCCTGCTTCTGCTAATGCTCCCGCTGCTACAAGTGCTACCAGTGCTCCGGCTGCTACAAGTGCTACCAGTGCTGCAAGTCTTGCTACTTCAGTTGTTGCAAAGTCAGAGGAAACTGCAAGCAGTCAAACACCTAGTGAAAAGGATGACAAAGACAGAAAAGTCACATCTCCTCCTTCGGTATTATCACTGCCTAGTGGGTATCTGGACATGCATTATGCCAGTGGTGAAACAGAGAGTCGTTCAAGTCGAAATGTTAGTGAGATTGATTTACAAAGCAGTACGGCCCTAAAACCATCCAGTTCAAATAATTCAGTTCATACTCAAAAAAGTACCCTGAGACCTTCACTTTCAAGAACTGGGTCACATGCAAGTTTACGTGGAATTAGTTTTACACCATTTTCAAAAGCTAAGAATAAGAATGAACTGGCTTCTGATTTAACTTCGATGGATAAGCTGGTGTCTGAAATGGGTTCAAGTACTCATGGAATAGCCAAATTCCGGGCTAGTATTTTAAGAGGAGCAAGATCAGGGGAAGAGTTTGTCGGTAGTTCTGCGTCATCAATCAAATCTGGTGTTGCTCCGTCAAATGCTTCGATAATAACAGCATCAGGTAGAAAACATGGTTTTTTCCATATTGGTCATAGAAAGAAGGAAACTTCTGGGGATGAGTCATCACTTGAGTCTGCGAGATTGGAAAGGGCCGCTTCTGAAGTAAGTATTAGTTCGGGTAGTAAGAGTGATTCTGGTAATAATGGAAAGAGAAAGTTTGGATTTAGATTAAAAAAATCAAATAATAGTAATGTTTAGTCAATTAATAAAATTTCTTTGTATAGATATTTGAATAATGATAATGACAATTTTTTACACGTTTAGTAGTATTCATTTTACGGAATGGGGTTGGTGGGTGTGCATATTACGTTATAATCTACGTGGTGTGGCTTGCTTTCAAGGTGGCTTCTTATCGTCTTGGGTCCTGTGTAGTTTTCAAAGTTCAAATTTCGGAACGGAGCTGCCTAAATAGGAAATCTTCCCTCTACTAAAGGAAAAATATAAATAGGTCCTCCACTCTGCCCCAAGTTTCGATTTTTTTCAATTTCATTTTTACCAACTCAACCCATCCATCTTCATACTCCAAACATGGTAGCTCAATTAGAAATTAGAAACGAAAAGTATACTTTAAACAACGGTACTGTTATTCCAGCAATTGGATTAGGTACTTGGCAACTGGACAACAGACATGAATTTTATGATTCGGTTAAATGTGCCTTAAAGAATGGTTATAGGCACATTGATACTGCTGCTTGTTATAAGAATGAAGAATATATTGGTAAAGCCATCAAGGATTCGTGTATTCCAAGAGAAGAAATCTTCATTACTACTAAAATCTGGAATGATAGACATAAGGACGTTGCCAAAGCTCTTGATGAATCACTTGAAAAATTAGGTGTTGAATATGTTGATTTATATTTAGTGCATTGGCCAGTTTCAATTGATCCTAAAACTGGGAAACCATATGACGATTGGGATTATGTTGATACTTATAAGGCTCTTCAAAAGTTATATAAAGAATCAGGTAAGATAAAAGCTCTTGGTGTTTCTAATTTTACCAAGAAGAAATTGGAAAGATTATTGAATGATCCAGAAGTTGATGTTGTTCCGGTTGTGAATCAAATTGAAGCTCATCCTTTATTAACTCAAGATGAATTATATAAATATTTGGAAGAAAAGAATATTAAGATTGCTGCTTATTCTCCATTGGGATCTGCTCATTCACCATTGATTAAGAATGAAACTATTTTAGAAATTGCTAATAAGAATGGAGTTGATGCTGGACAAGTTTTGATTTCTTGGGCAGTTCAAAGAAAGACAATTGTTCTTCCTAAATCAGTTAAAGAATCAAGACTTATTTCTAATTTAAAGACTTTTATTTTATCAGATAAAGATTTTGAAACTTTAAATAAATTATCTGAAAAGTATGGAGTTGTAAGAACTTGTACCATGGAATATAACAATTTTGATGATTAATTAGATTTATAGTTTTTATATAAATTTTATATAAATTTTATTTATAGAATTTCAAGAATTGTCAGAATCTAAATCAATTTTCACATACCTTTGTAGAGAGGCTACTACCAGATGGGGGGATTATAAGAAGAGTGTTGGCTGGTGGCCATTTCTTAAAACCAGAGAGAGTAGAACGAATGGCTGTTGTCAAGATCTTTTTTTAGGGTCTAGAATTTTACTCGCACAAGGAAACGCTTAAACCACATTAAACATTTCACACCAAATTAAATCTCTTTCATCTTAAATCAATCATCCATCCAACTCACTTCTTACTAAAAATGTCATCTCAACAACAATGGGGATCTAATGCCATAACTCCCGACGTGGATGATTTCATTATCCCAGATGATGATTTCTCTGCTCCACCACCACAGCCACGTAATCAACAATCAACATCCAACATCCCACAAGCATCTTCCTCCAGTCCATTCTCCCCCTTCAATCTCGTACCAAAAGTAGATCTATCATCCACATTTACTTCATTTGCAGCATCTACTTCTGCTCAATTACCTGAAAATACCAAAGTCAAAGAACGTCAATATACAGGTGGTGATACATTAGATGAACCAATTTTAGAAACTTTAAAACGAGATTTATTACAAATAGGTAAACGATTAACTATAGTTATATGGCCAATGCAATTGAAGAAATTAGCACAATTGCAACAGAATAGATTTTTGGAATTTGCGAGTACCAATGGAGTTCAATTGCCACAACTGATTTTGAATTCTCGGGTTATTCCTGTGTCCGAGGAAGAAGAAGAGGAAGAGGAGGAGGCCGTGACTGGGATTTCTAGTGGAGAGTTGATTACTCAAGATAGTTTAGATTGGGATCTTTGGGGTCCATTGATATTTTCATTAACTTATTCAGTTGCTTTGGGATTAAGTGCAAGTAAAAATCAAACAAATCAAGTCTTTTCAGGTAGTTTTGCATTTATTTGGATATTATATGTTATAATTGGATTAAATGTACAATTATTAGGTGGGACGATTTCTTTCATGTCGGCAATTAGTGCAATTGGTTATTCAATGTTTCCAATTGTTATTGGAGAATTGATTTGTTCATTGGTACTTAAATGGAAATTTATTAGATTGATTTTAATGTTGGTTTTAAATTTATGGAGTATTTATGCTGGGGTTATGAGTTTGAAATGTTCTGGTGTACTTCCTGGTAGAGTTTTATTGGCAATTTATCCAGTTATATTATTCTATTCTGTACTTTCATGGTTAACAGTTATAACTTAAATAAGTCAAATGTATATTATTATTAAAAGGCAAATGTAAATTATTAAAAGAACTTTTTATTTCTATATATAAATAAAAGTGAAGACCAAATCTTATTAGAATACAATTAAACAGAATTGAAGGGAGGGAGGTGTGCGCTTGGGGTTCGCGGGTCGTGGTCATTTAAATGACTAAACATGCTAAGAATGCAAATACAATAGACAACGGGAAGTATGAAGCAGATGCATATAAACCATTGACATTGTTGGCAGCTGTACGTGAATTATTGCTAGCAGTTGAATTGTTTCTGCTACCTGTTGATGTTTGCATAGTAGTAGCTTCTGTTGATGATGCTAACTGGATTGCAGTCACAGTAGCAAAATGAGTAACGACAGAAGGTTTAGCAGGAGGGATATTCCCTTCTTGCCCAGCAACATTAACTGTGAATTCACCTAAACTAGCTTCAGCAAATCCAATTCTTTTCTTATCCATATCAAACATAGTATAATAATTCTTCAAGAAAGCTTGTCCCAAAATCCAATAAGCATATTCATTCAATCCTTGAATCTTAGATGCACAAAAGCCTTGTAATCCATCAGTTGTATATTCGTCACCTTTGATTAATGAACTTGGTAATTCAATTGTATTATCACCAATTTTGAAAGTTAAATATGTATCATCACTAGCTAAATCACAGAAAAATGCAAAATTTCCTTGATCATCATTCACATATCCATGATCTCCAAATAATGCTTGATGAGCTTCAAGAGCATCATTAAATGGGAATACAATACCAGTTGTTCCTGAATCGATAATGGTTAATCTAGAACTACTATTAAAAAGTGGTACTCCGTTAATGGTTGAATTAGAAGATGAGACTGAATCAAGGTTGATTAACCAAAAATTATTTGGATTGTTAACCACATCAGCATAGACAGTTGGATTATTACCGGCAAATGTAGTAAGATGATTAATTGATTCATTTCCAAATAACATTAATCCACCTAAATATTGTTTAGATAATTCAACCACAGTTTTAGACATAAATTGAACTTTATTTGGGGTTGATATATATAATGAAAAGATATTTTGATCAATTAATCCACTATTATGATATTGAGTTACTAGATTTTCATCAGAAGAAGTTGAAGCAATTCCTAAAATCCCACTAATTGAAAATCCTTGGAAAATTGAAGGAGAAGTATCAGAAATTCCAATACTATAATCTTCAACTTGAAAATCTGATGAACAATAACCTAAACACATATCAATATTATTATCTTTTAAAGAAATCATTTGTCCTGAAACATTATCATTGGTATAAGTCAAATGGAAAACTGATTTATATGTTAATTGTTCTGGAAATGAAAATTTTGTAACTGAACTAGAATTACATGCATTATTAGTACATGATTGATCATAGATCCAACTAAGTGAACTTCCTGTGTCTATTAATAAGGGGAAATCTTGTGAATATGAATGGGGATCACTTTGTAATGATAAATATGTATAATAAATAGAATTAGAATTGTCTGTGTATAATACTTGTATAGCGTCTAATGAATCAAATGTGACTTCTGTTGTTGTTGAACTAGTATCACTAGAAGCAGCAGCAACTATTTGTTCTTTATTATGACTTGCAAGCTTGCTGAGTGACTCTATATCTATGTCATGACCAGCAGAGACAATTGTTGGTACTCTAAAATCCTTGACTGGTAAAAGAGCATGGGTTATAGATGCCAATATGAAAGGTATTGTGTAATGCAACTTCATGATGTGTGTGGAATTGTTAGTTTTGAATGCAAAAAAAGCGAATGTAATAAGTTGGGGGGGTGTAAGTTGTGGGTCTGTGGTTGGTGGTAGTGTAGAGGTACTATATGCTTAGATTGAATGTGATTTCCCTCTCGTAAAAATGACAAATAAAAATGAAGATGAATCGATGAAATGTAAATCAAAATTTCAAGATAAATAAATAAATATAGTCCTCCCTTTAATTCTGTTAATTAATAAAGTAAACACCTTGTATTTAAGAAAGGTAATAACAAATAAAGAGTAAGAAGAGTTAGTGGGTATTAAATTTTTTGACGAGAGAATTTAAAATTTCTTCTTAGTTAAGAAAACAAAATGAAAAAATAATAACCTTTTTATCAATTTTAAGAAAGAGAAGAAAAACTTTAAATTTTTTAAAAATAGACTACAAATGATCCTTATATTAATGTAACCGTATAGTTATAGTATAGTAACGTAACCCCTTTTTGATTTTGAAAATCGAATAGTAGTAGTAGTAGCATGCTTGGGTTGAAAATTATTTGAACAGCGTGGGCGGGTGCATGCTTGCTGTATTTGTGGTACTTACTATGCTTGCTGGTTTTTAATATTTTATAATGTGGAATTTCCTGTTTAGGAATAAATTAAATAAATAAAATGCATCTAAACAATGGCCATATACAATAACGATGTTACAAAACAATGAAACTGAGATCAATAAAAAAACAAGCACAATAAGGTAAAGTTACATACACATACTTAGGCTATTGCTGTACTATGTAGAATAGAAAGTTTAATTTAATTGTACACTATTATTTTGCAATTATTCATTACATCATTCATTATTGTACAGATATTACTTGTACACATGTATCTTTATGTTAGTATTAGTTGAGTATTTATTATTAGAAATTGTCTTGCAATAAAAAAAGAAGACAGTTCATTTTATTTTGCAACTTCTAATTATTTTTTAGGTTTTTATTATTATTTTTTTAATTATTATTTTTCGTATTTTTTTCACGCGTCTTTCCTTTATTTTTTATTTTCTGTTTTAGGAAAAGCTTGGACTATAAATATAACTTTATAAAATATAAATACAAAATGGTTGCAAGAAATATTTCTAGCCGAGATGCACTAGGGATGGACAAAAGATACTGGTGGGACGTGGGGACTAAAGGGGGGTACAATGTGTAAGTATTGTGTTTGAGAAAATATCAGATACACACAATCGAAGGTATCGCGCGTAACGAATGTTCTAGCCACTGACCTTTGTTTTGTGATACATTGATGTGTTTTGTTACCTTTCTTGATTTAGACCTCCACACACGCCTTTATTCATATAATTCAATTGACAGATTTCAGAATAGTCTAAATCCAGTATAGCCGACCAAGAAAAATAAGTACAGACGATAATTCATGATCTGTTTTAAATCAGAATTCATTATCTCGGGTGTAATTAAACGATTAATCTTGCTGACTGTAAAATGCTGCTTCTTGATAAGGGTTGTGGGGGTGGCATATTGTATTATTATTAAATTCTCGTTCGATTTTATTATTGTGTAGCATTTGACGATCATATTTTACACGATTTACGGTTATTAAAAACCACCACGCGTTGCAAAAATGTAACTTTTTTTTTTGTTTACCTTTTTTGTTTTTCATTTTATGCTTCTATTTTTAGGACCTTACTTATTCAGTTGAATGTTTTGCTTGGCTAGATCAGATGTTGGTAAAAAGAAACTAAAATCAACTGAGTCGGATTCCCGCCTCTGGTATATATATGCTCGACGGGCTGTTTCGTTCAAGAGAAAAATATTGTAATCTTGCAAATGTCAAAATATTAAAAAAATCTATTGTGGAGATTTTTATTCTCAAGATAGCACCGAAACCCTTTTCTTATTATCAAGCTAATACCTATGATTAAACTGTACCTTATTTCGTGTGACAAGAAATCATTATTGGAGGCGGACGAGGTGTATGGAATGTGTGTATTCAGAATCAGATTGAATACCAGTAGCCCGGGTTATGACAGCCAAAAAGAAATTTAAGATACGACAAAAAAAATACGAGCCCCAGCCAGATCTCACGTGATTTCAAGCTCATCCCTCAATGTGAAATTTTTCATAAAAAAAAATTTAGATGCAATAGCATAACTGGAATTTCGTACATTTCTTTAGAAGTTTCGTTGTTTAGACGCATTTTCTGAAGCGCCCCTTTTATAAGCGGCTCTTAAAGGTATGGAGTTCGAGACTTTGCAGCATTTAGATTTTAAAAAGCAAAACAAACAAAAATTTGTTTTAATATGATGAATAAAATGGATGTGAACAATCTCTGAGTATTAACAAACGTTGATATGTAGATTACAAAACCTGCCTTCCTACTGACTTTTTTTGTTACCCAGGTTGTTCAACTTATGGTAGATTACCCAGGTTATTCAACCTAGTGGTTGATACTTACTTACAAGGATATCTATTAAATTGTATATTTTCTTATTAATAAACTAACATTATATGCGGATGCTAAAAATAGAAATAACTATTACTTAAAAGAATTGAAAGTTACAAACGAAACTAACATGGGGATATTAAATATCAAAAAATGTTAACTAATTATACAAAATCACATCTCACTTTAAGTTATTCCTCTCCTTTAAGTACAATTCCTTAGCTATTCTTCTTTCCTCTATTTCTTCTCTTTTTTCTTTCTAATTTAGCAATTTCTCTTAAATCATCTTCACTAGGTTCATAAATATGCCAAATAGTATAATGAGGTAATCCACCAACTTTAAATCCCATCTTCTTAGCCATTTTTCCAAACGCTTCAGTTTCAGCATGATTTAAAAATGTAAATGCTGGGAAATGTACCCCTTGTCTAAATATTTTAGCTCTAGCCAAAATAGAAACCCCACCAACACCATCTAAATCAACAATTTCTCTAGGATTACCATTTGGATCTCGAAGATATGCCAAATGAGCTCTCCAAGTAGGGTATTCAGCATATCCTTCCACAATTACATCATCTTCATCCAAAGTCTTTGCCAATTCCAATGCAGGATCAGATTCAATCCATGAATTTAGATCATATGGTTGTTCATTACCTAAAAACGTAGGCAATGGTCTCCAAACATTTGGAACCATGACATCATAATTATGAGACATTAGTTCTTCAATAACATCTCCTGGACAAGTTTCAATATCGGCATCTCGCCAATATACCCATGAATGATATGGTTTTAATGCACTTGAAGTTAACCAATTTCTGGCTCTACCCATTAATTTTCTTCTAATACCTTGAACTTTAACTGCATGACGATCACTAAAACCTTGTCCGATAATTTGTCCAAAATCTTTCTTGAAAATTGAAACTGATCTAAATGGAGTACGATAATGTGGGTGATGTTCGGGATTACTATATGCTTTTCTTACAGATTCCATATATCCTGGTTCCATATATTGTTGGTATAAATCAGTAGTCCCTCTAACTTGAGCTGATTTTTTCGCATTTTCTTCTCGTTGTAATCGATCAACAAGAGTACCATTTTGTAATTCAACTGAATATTCAAAAACTGTTTCTAAAGTTTTATCATTTGGTGAACAATCAGAAACTAAGAATGCAATATCAATTAAGGAATGATCATAAGTTAAATTCATAAGATTATAAAATGCCATTGGTAATACATGTTCTGCATTTCTTAATGGCATAAGAAATAATACAACATCTCCTTTCTTGGATCCATGTTTCTCTCCTTGGAAATCATTTAAATCATAATATTTAATCGTATCAGCATATAAGTTTTCTGTTTCAAGTAAATCTTGTAAATCTTTATCAGGTGAATCTGATTTAATGTCTTGTTTTTTAACTCCTTCTTTAGTTACTTTATAGAGTTCATAATCATCCTTCTCTACAGCTGGTGGTGGTGGTGCTTGTACTGGTGGTGCAGCTTGCTGCTGTTGCTGTTGCTGCTGTTGTTGTTGTTGTTTGTTAATTGGTATTGTCGGCTGTTGCGGTATATGTGCATTGCTTTGACCAACAATAAACCTAGAATATATTGAATAAAGGAAAACTAAAGATATTAGAACATACAATGCTCTCTTTAGTAACACTCTCTTGTTATGTTTCCTAGGTGCAAATCTGGTGTATATTGGCAAACTTGATTTCTTCTTGCCATAGACATCTGGTATCATTGTTGTTTATTGTTCTCTCTGATGGTAATACTGTTTAGGTGTGAATGTGTGTGCTTTGTTGAATGAAGGCTACCAGTTGTGGCAGTAATCGTCACCTTTCACTTTAGCTTACTTTTTAGTTTATTCGTTAAAACGGGTAAACCGTAAAAGTGTGTACAGTGTGTTGTATTCGTAAAAGTAACTAGGTGTGTTAAATTGTTTTTTCTAGAAAATTTTTAAAATTCCAAGAATAATTTCAACGTCTTTTTTTTTTTGGCAGTGTTGGTTGTGATATTAACTGAAATTGAAACTTCAAGCGATTAGAAAAACTACTAAATTTAGCTTACAAAACTTTACTTTTGAGCCCGAGGTCAATTTAATTAACTAATTATAAACTTACTTCTATACAACATTTTATTAGACTTTTACATACTAAGGTGTCACCTCTTCAAGTCCATGTTCTTCTGGTTTAAACCATTCATTTCTTAAAGTATCCCAACACTTTTTAGCAATTGATTTTGCAATTTCTTCATTCTTATTAGATCTACCTTCAATATAAAGCTTTAATTTAGGTTCAGTTCCTGATCCTCTACAAGTGAAAGAAACCGATGAATCATCATCATCATCCTGATCACTTAATTTCAATTGAGCACTAATCATTTGTGAACTTGGATCAGTTGGTAATATTGGATTATTATCTTCTGTACTTGAATCAAAACCAATAGTTAAATCCCGCCAATATACAACATCAAATTCACCAATCTTAGTAGGATAATCACTTCCGGTATATGATTGTCTTACTTGTTGGAAAATATGAGTTAATTTTGAAATATCTTTAAATCT